ATATGCTGTTATATTAACATAGATGTATTAATAGAATTATGACTCTTGCTTTCTCTGGTTGAATTTCTAGCTCTTCTGTTCAATTACTGCTGGATTACTCCATTATTTCCTTCTAGCCGCTTTTGCATGGATGTGCATTGAAGGTATTCACCTCTACCTTATAGTTGTGGGAGTCATCTACAACAAGGGCTTCTTGCACAAGAATTTCTATGTCTTTGGCTATGTCAGTCCAGCCGTGGTTGTTGGAATCTCTGCTGCACTGGGATACAAGTACTATGGCACCACAGAAGTGTAAGTCACTGTTTCTGTGTCCAAATTAACATACATAAGGATGTAATAATCACAGTTGCACACTTCAAGGCAATTTTCTGCTGTTTACTTTTCAGATGTTGGCTCAGCACAAAGAATAACTTTATATGGAGTTTTATAGGACCAGCATGTCTAATAATTCTTGTAAGTGTAATTTTGATTTTTTATTGTAGTACATAAAACTGATAATAAAAGGTGTTTAATAATCATCCACCCATTGCCAGCATAACTGTGAGTGCTAATTATAGGGCAGAATTGGCTAATTTAGACCTTTTTATAGTGTCTCTAAATTATTTATATGCTGTACATCTAAATACTTTACTAGCCTGAAAAATGAACGTTTGATAAAAAAAGCTCAATATAAGATCTTTTTTTCTTACTTGCTTTCTTTCTTTTAACCCAATGGGTTGAGAAATTCTGTGAAGCATTTCTGGCTTTTAAGAAGTAGCATCTTTGTATGTTGTTGGCATCTCAGCATGGCTCGGCAGGAGGTGTACACAGACACTATCCTAGCAGACAGATAATCTGGTTTTTCAAATGTTGTGTGACTTAATCTCTTATCAGTGATCGGTCATCTTTGTAAGATTAGACTGTCATCTTTATGGTTTTATCACTCGCATGTACCCTGTCATCATCAAAGCTATTTTAAACTAAATTGCGACGTCAGAGAAAAGAACCCGCTATTTCACACGGGCAGACAAGTCAAGTATTGATAGCCCTATTTCAGCTGTGAAGAGGGCCTTTTTAATTCTTATTGGAAGTGGTTTCAAACCTGCAAATTTGGCAGGTATTATATGTTCCATTCTGAATCAAGACATTTTTGGTGCCTTGGGAGCATTTCTAAGTGCTATAAAGTTTAACAAACAATTCCAACTGTAATGGGGCATTATTGTGTATGACTGGGTTGACAGGGATCTGGCAGTAGCTAGAGCTAACAGGAAGAGAAGGTACAATGCTGAGGCCTCATGACATCTATGGGCAAGTCAGTTATAACCCTTCGTTGCTTTTTAAGCTATTTGGTGAAAAATATGAGGATTTGTAAAAAGGAAGAAGTGGCAGTGCTTAACACACACAAGATGATAGTAAAGCAGATTTATTTCAATGCATTAGCCATTTCAAAGCTGAATTAAGTAGCAGGTATAATTCTGGTCAAATTCCACCCCAAATTCCTACTGTAGATTGAGGATAGGCTGGGAGTAAACTGCCAGATGCAACTTCAGGGTGATGACTCCTCATCTCACCCTCCTGGTGAGTACAACAGACTTTGAGAGGGGCAAGGCATTGGAATCTCCCTTGGTTCAGTGCTTCAGGGGTCAGATTGCCCTGATGGCAAATGGCCTATGGTAAAAAAAAATCCTGAGGAGAGACCATCCTTTACTAGGAAATTCTTACAATTCTTAGGTTTAAGTTGACAATTTCCTGTTTCCTCTTTGGCCCTTTGGTTGGGAATTTTTTGTTGTCACCCTCATTTCTGTTCCTCATTTGCCTTCAGGAGAAGTTTTATGGGCAGCCATGTAACACTGCACTGTTAGCACAAGAAAACTGCATTATCAAAATATACAAAATCCTCAAAATTAACCTTGGTTTTACCCTCTAGCTGAGCTGTGCCTGATGCGGGATCTTAGGTATACAGTACAGAGGCAGAGCGGGTCTGCAGTGGCTTTGATGTAAGCCCACCTGGCCACAAATACTGCAAGCTGGGCTCCGAGGCCCCTCTCCATTCTTCAAGCACTCCAGATCATGGAGTTAATACAAAAAAGTGATGTGGCAGAAGTCGATACAGGCCCTGTGCACCAATGCAGTCCTCCTCTGGATGAGCAGCCAGACAGTTTCTTCCCCCCCCGCCCCCAAAACCCCCCCCCGCCTTTGCTTAAAGTGAAGCCACAAAAAGGAGCTGCAGCTGGACAGCAAATAGCCCTGTGGTTGTTTTGTTATTTTTTGTGTGTTATGGAAGTATTTTGTGATAACTTGTTTTCACAGTATTTGCATCCCTTTCTTATTGTCTCTTCATAATCATGCATCACTAGACCTGGGAGGAAAGGCAACCTGCTTTCAGCAAACTGCTTCATCTTCTGCATGATTTTTTTGAGCATTTGGAAAGCTTGTTTTGATGGAGTGATAACAAATTGAAGCCCAAACTGAGAGAGGGATGTTTTCAAAGAGTGCAGTGAGCTAGGTAATTTGTTCACGCTCTATCCAGATTATTGTCTAAGGAAAACATGGAAAACCTTATGAAAATAGGCAGTGACACTAGAAGATGAGGTTGGTGTTAGATGCCTGCTCTGTGGAAGGGACGTTGCTGGCGGTAATTCTGTTTCCGTCTTCCAGTCCTCCTGTTGAGCATACTGTGTGGGCACCACCATAGCAAAGATCAAACTCTTTCCGAAGAAGTGCCACTCAGGAAGTCCTTTTAATTGCAGAAGCCAATCTCCATCCAAGATTTCCATTATGCCCACAGCTAATTAAAGAAAAAAAAAATAACTAATTAGAGACTCTGAAAAGGAAATATTACTTTTATTCTGGGATAAACAGATAGAGCACAGCAAGCCTCATACAGAAAGCTGCAAAACCTGGCAGCTTCAAGCTTACTTTTAATCCTGATCTTCATCTACTGGTAGTGTTGAGTTCGCAGATTTTTCAAGATAGCATGGAGAGTTTGGATACCAAATCTCTGGAGAGCCATTCACCACAAATCTGATTCTTGCACAAAAACATTGAACCCATTGTCAGTACAAGTGCCCATATACCCAAATGGTGCTTTCAGTTTCTGTGACTAGGGACCCAGGAGATTTGTAGTTTGGATTAAACTGTAATATGCCTTTGAGACAGCACATAAATGATGAAGAAAATAACTGGTTCTGTACCAATGAATTTTCTGTCTCGGGGCACAATGTTTCAAACACATCCTTGGATTTTAAATCTTCAGTAACAGTGAAGCACAGGGAGATGAAGTGTTTATCAGGACTAAGAGGAGAACAAGGTTCCCCTCTGATTGCCTAAGCAGTAACACTACTTCTGAAGGTGTTTGCTTATCAATATTGAGGTTCTATTAGGATTCTTAAGTGCAAAGCAATGGCCTTATTAATCCCATCTAAAAATCATTATTGTTATTATTATTATTATTAGATTGGTGACTGTACATGAAAAGGAGTGGGTCAGAAGCTCTTTAGGTGAAATTAGCTAAGAAAGGGCATTTTAAACCTTTGTAAAGCAAGCTGCAAGCTGAAGATAATTTCTACAACTTATTTCTTCCTCCTAATACTTGTAATCTTTAGAACCACAACCATTTTAGCTAAACCTATGCAGTAGATTAGATCAAAGCATACAAGTATGCAGAAATTATTTATAACAAGTATTTAAACTTTTTAATAGAAAAGCGAGTTTATCACAAGCTTTAAGGGACAAACATTCACACACACCACAACCCATGCCTGATTGAGGCAAATACAAATATAAGTTCCAGAGATAAAAGGTATGATTTTTTTTTTTTAAAAAAAAGCCCTAGAACATTTTCTTTTCTTTTGTGATACACTTCTACAATAATAATGTCCCTGTAATAAGACCTGTGTAGAATGGAAATAACCATTTGTCTGCAGGGTAATGTGGCTGCAGTTTTGATTGGCATGTAATGTCAGCCAAGAACAAACTCCTTTCCATTGTAGGTGACTTCTGCATGGCTGTCCCCACCTCTGGCATGACAGCTTGCTCTATGTTGAGTGGGAGCAGACCTATATAAGGGCTTTATTCTGAATCACTGACGGTTTTGGAAACTTCATCTTTTAAACTCTGTGGGCACAGGATAAGTCCCTCCACGTCTACCTATCGTGAGGGACAGCTATATATTAGTTGTCCAACTGGCACTAGAAATGACATTGTTTGGCAGAGTTGGGCAAAGGCTATTAATGCTGTACTTATGAAAGTCTACACCTTTGTAGTATTGACAGAGTCATGCAGGCTTGACTATTGTACCCACTGGCACTGGCACAATAAATTGGCATACCTCTGTGAGGAACCAGGACTCAGAAGTGTGACATGTAGCATTCACAGGTGCAATTTGTTGTTTAACAGTATCAATCTATTTGTATCATTTGTTGAGACCACCTCTGTAATAACAACATACAGACTTGCTCTTAGAGGTTGGAACAATTCCAAAATTGAACATCATCCAAATAATCCTCTCTGTGGCTTTTATCCAAACACTGTAGCGCTGTGCAGTGGGGAGGTG